AAAATGGATTTGGAATGGTACTGATGCCAAATCTAAAACAGTAGTATTTATAGCCTCATAAAATACTGCTTTTAACCTTGAAAAATGAGTTTATTGTAGTCTTCGAAAATGAGATCCTACTTGCCTCTGGTTTGTGTCCCATCTCTCCAGAAGTGTTACTGTTTCACTGGCTGGGGATTCTGCTTTCTGTGCAGGGAACACTGTGGCACCACAAAAAACCCAGCAAAGAAAAAAAGCAAACCAGGAAACAGACATAATAGAACAAAGAAGTGGAATAAGATTTGATTGCACATTAAGATCAAAGTCTTTACCAAGCTAAAGCCCTCTGTTATAATTAAACTACAATGGTCCTCACATTCATAGGCCCCCCTGGTTTCACCGTGCTGCTCAAGTATTTTGTTACCAGCATCCTTTCACAAAACTGTTGGCAGTTATGTCATATCTGAAAGCCAAGGCTGTGAGTCAGGACTAAATTTCTTCCTTGCCAGTTTGTATCCATTTCTTTTTGGCCAACATTACCTTTAAGCAAAGGAGCTCTTCTTGCTCCCTAGTATTTAATCTGTGATTTATTTTTAGGGATCCCCTCTCAACCTTAGGAAATGCAAGCCAAGAGCAGTCGTCTCCTCTTGTTAGACAGCCACCAGTGCCCTGATCATTCGAATTCCCCCTTGCTCTCCTTCCAGTCAGCATCCTTAAGCAACAGTGAACAGAAATGTATACAGTATTCCAGATTAAGTTTCACCAGTCCTTTCTTAAAGAAATGTTTATGTTTTATATGTACTCACTTGCTGTGAGTTCTAGGATCCTATTTGTCCTTTTGAAAGTTACATCACATCAGAAATTACAGTGATTCTGCCTCTGAATAGCATTTGTGGGTCTTCTGTCCTGCTGGGTTTCCACAGCTGAGATGATGCTAATAACGGGAATACCAACCTGGCACGGGTGGATGCTCTTTCATTTTGCACTGTTGAATTTCAGATAGTCACATAAGCAATTCTGTCTCTAGTCTTCAGATGTTACCCATAAGACATTTTAAAAATCTTCTTTAAATGCTGCTCAGCTCTCAGTCTTTAAGTCAGTAGCACAGCTAGTGCTGGTGTAAATACTGAAAATACTAAAGTCAGTCTCAAGATGGATCTTTAAAGTACTCCACTAGCAAGCTTCTTTCAGTGTAACAGTTTCTTTAAATCATTTTTAGTTGTCTCTCCTCATCATCATCTTTTATTTCTTGTTTTAATCCCTGTCTTAATTGGATTGGTAATGACTCATACCATGCAGTATCAGAAACTTAATTTAGATACTGCAAGATTAGATATACTAAATTTCTTATAGTGACTTTATACCAAATTCAGATAGACGTGCACAAACCCCTCTATGTCCAGGTCTGAAATAGTAAGCTGACTGTATTTGGGACTCTGTCTCTGAATTACTAATTGATTAATGTTTAATGTTCATAAAATTGTGCTTACCTATTAATCACAACTTGAGAATGTTTATTTTCATGTATGGATAATATCCCTTTAATAACTAGTGCTTCTTTGCAACAATGTTAATGCTTCCATTACACTAGAATAAATACTGAAACTCTTAAATTGCTAAAATCCTATTTTAAAATTTCTGTAGATATTCACTGGAAGTCCCAGGAACACTAATTTATATTTCAGGCTAAATGAAGATTCCATTCTGATTGGAGTTACCAGTATAAACCTACTAACTGGAGAGTATCTGTCCCTGGTTTCTTCCAGTGAAAAATATTTCGGATTCAGGCTCATTGTTATAAATGCTTAAAAAAAATAATCTCTTTTTATATTAGAACTTTTAAAATTCAGGTCAGGAAAAAAAATTCCATATTGTACACTTAGGTATGGTAAAGTATGTTAAGGAAAGGTTTGGTTGTTTAGGCAGACTAGGACGTCAGTCAGGATGAATTGATGTCATCCCTCCTCTCTAATGGCTCTACCTGGGTTATTTTTTCATGTTAAGACAGTGGAGTTAAATAGCTGTGATCCAACCTTGCCATAACAGTTAGCTCTGTGCTACATAAATGGAAACAGAGCAGGTTTTAATTCTGATGATGAGGTAAGCTCTCTCCCTACATTTCATCAGGGATTTGACATGACTTGCTGAGCTGGTTATGTAGCATTTAACCACAGCCCTTTCCCACAGGAAGGACTTGGCAGGGCAGCAGCAAAGCTGGTAAATGTAATTACCTGTATTCCATGACTCTCAAAGCATGAATGATGAAATGTTTTCTGTGACACTCACTTCTAGCTGCAAAATGATGATTCCTCCTTTTGCTGCTTATTGATGGCAGAAAGGCAGGGAAGGGTGGCACTGCAGGGTTGTGGGGGATAGAGGGGATGACACTTCCCATGGAATCAGTCTGTTTCCAAACGGTGAGGCCACACATGGGAGTGCTGGCTGCTTGCTACCTCACTGGAGCATTTTTTCACTTCAAGAGTAGGCAGTATTGCACCTTCTTTTCTACCACAGTTATTTTATACTTCCAGTTTTTATCAAGATGAAGCTATTAATAATGTTTCCTGTAATTGTGAGTGGTGATTTCCTGCTTCTGGTATTTCTGTATTGCCCATTTCCCCTACCTCCTTCACAGTCTGTCCTTGTCAGAACTGTGTTCTGTTCTTAGTCTTAGCCAAAGTATCTACTTTCCTCAACCCCAAATTGCCATTAACCAACATGAAAGGGAGAGAAGGTGAGTGATTTCCTGTAACTGACAAAAAAGTAGACATTGTGAACACTTTTATATCTCATCAGGTTTATAAAAATAGAGAAGATAACCTTTCTAAACATCATACACATTATGATGTTCAGAAAATCTACATACAAATTTACATACAAAATTTGTCTATGTAACATTATTAACATTATTACCACATTATTAACATTTTTTTTCCAGAGGAAACAGCATTGTTGATTCCCACCCCCCCCTTTTTTTTTCCTGGTATCATCTTAAGGCCCTGTGCACAATGATCACTGCAATTGCCATCCACACTTCTGAGCAGAAATGTGAGGCCTGATCTGCGTCATCGCTCACATTTAGAGACTCACTTATCAACTGGGATACCAACTGAGCCCTTGAGACATGAGCAAATGTCTATATTTATCACCAACAGCCCTTTTTCCACAAACTCCTGCCACATGATGTCACAGCACTGCTTGCATCTCCAATGCCTGGTGCACCCATACCATGAATAAAATTTTAATATATGCAGAAGCTGAACAACAAATTGTGAGGCAAAGCTCTCTGAAACATAGCTCTTGTTTTATGCAACATTTTCACACCTCAGTGGAAGTGTGGATACAGTTTTCCTCCTTTTTATGTTAGCATTTAGGGTGAAATGCACTAGGTACTTTAGTTAATACTAACACTTAGGCCATCACAAAGCAGGTGGCACCAGGAGTAGAAAAAGGACACTGGGAACAGGAAAGGGCAGAATTTGTTGGTTTGGCAGTTCTGTTCCCTTGTGACAGCTTTATGACCATACCCCAAATAAGTTACTTGTAACTGGTAATTTTATGAAAGAAATGATTGATATGATATGATGATATGATAATCTGCAGGCAACAAGAGGATGAAATTGATATTTTGTCAATATGTTCCTTCTAGTTGAAGTGTATACGCATTTCTTCCTTGTATTGGAAGTTTCTTGATATATTTTTCTATTTTCTAATATATTACAGATTTTTTCCTTGGTATACCAGTTCAGATTATTAGTATAAATTCAACACTTCATCTTCAAGTTACATACAAAAAGTTATTAATTCATTAAATATTTCAGTCAGAAATATCTTTATCTGAAGGGCTGTCATGTCAGCAGAAACAAAAACAAAACAAAAAAAAAGCAATGGAAATGCTTATTTAGTGCATCTTACTACATCATTTTAGCCAACTTCTTTCTTCACTAGAAAATGTTCCTGGTGATGTAATGAATTTGTTTCTTCTATGTCAATCATGTATCTACTACACATTAAAGTTAAAATTAGTTCTACTCTCATGCATTTCATTTTACGTCAGTGAATACCACTGTTGTTCCACAGCTGTTTTTGTGATTGTGGTTTGCCTTCTAAACAATCTAAAGTATTCCTGGAATGTGCAGGGTAACCAGTGATAACAGTAATGTCAAGAGAAACTTTAACCACAGGAGATGTTTATGCTTTATTACTGCAGAGCTTGTTTTGAGATCTATTCTGTAAGAGCAAAGGACTGGACGTTACCCTGTAATGAGTGAATCAGAAGCTCAGGAATATTACTCTGTGGAAAACAGTGAAGGCCATATCCATAGTGTGCTCTCCTCACTTTCCAAACACCCCTAGTGCTTGTGAGGCCACAACCTATAGGAAAAAGTGGACAAAGTTGGAAATACAGGAGTATTCTGGAAGTAATCCATACATGGGTTGTGTTTTAGCTGGGTCATTATAAAGCAACATTTAGTTTTTCCTTGGAATTAACAGCAGTTATATATGTAGCTGAAAGAAATTTTAAAGGCCAATATTCTGGTAGTAAAAGGCACTAAAGGCAGCAGAACCAGTGCCCCTGGCTTTTATAGACTATTGCATTAAAGGCTTTCAAATTTTTCTCTGAAATTTCTATTTCACCAGAATTGCACTCATAGCACTTGATCATTCCAGGTCCTGCACGTGGTGGTGGTGGATGTCCCTCCATGGAAGTGTTCAAGGCCAGGTTGGATGGAGTTTTAACAGCCTGGTCTAGCAGAAGGTGATCAGGAGCGAGATGATCTTTGAGATTCCTTCCAATCCAGGCCATTCTTTGATTCCTCCCTGGTGTAGACCATGGTTTAGGATGTTATTGTTAAAACCTGTCAGATATCTAAGAAAATGACCTTTAGGAAGTGCTGATTCCTGGTAACTCCTAGTTTGAGAGTTGAAGGCCAACCATGAGATGCTTGTGTGGCAGAGGCTCAATGGGATTTTTGTCACTGGTCATCCAAAAGACTGGATTCCCCTCAGGCCAAGTACGTGTGACTAACTCTGGCTGCTCACTTATGAAAAATGCTGTTGCATTACATTGTCAGGATTTAATAACAACACAGGTAAAACACCAAGGTGAGCTTCTCTTTCCATTTACTTCACACAGGACATAATAAAGACATCAAGAGTAGTATACTATTAACATCAAGACAGTGGTTACAATGTTTGTTTTTTCTCTCAGTTTCCTAGCAACAGATCTTGATTGTATTTTAATGTTATTAGTAAGCTTATTATGTGCATTTTAACTGAACATTTAGGAAAGACATTATATCTGCTTATAAGCAAAAAGTGAAAAATAGCACAATCTATCTGCTACCATTATAAAAACCTGCTGGCCTATTTAACATGTGTTTCAGGATATTCCTTGGATTTCTGTTCAGATAAACAAGTTTTCTTATCCAGAATATGCTACATTAGAGCATCAGAATACAAGGGTAATTTGGGCATACAAAAATCTGTTTCTCTCCTCAAATGAAGCACCACAAACTTCAAGTCATACCTCATTGTAATCAACAATCAGAATTAAACAGCTGCCCATCCATTAATGTACCACTGTTCCAAATAACCTATGGTTTTGGAGAGGCAGAACAGTCATTAGCAGGAGTTTTTATAATATCCTAGAAGAAAGAAATTTGCAGTACTGATCATTCAAAACGCAGCACTTGCTCCTGCCAGAAGTGCTCTTATTCTGCTGCATCCATTTACTGTTCTCTAAGAGAAAGAGCTGCCTCTCCCTCCCCTCTCTGTTACCAGACTATTGAAGACTTTAAACCACCATCCTGTACTCAGCTCTGACATTTACTACCAGACAGAACATTCATTAAACCAAACTACAGATAGCTTTTCTGGAAAACAAAAAAAGTAGCAAAAGCATTAAATGATGAGCATTAAGTAATATACATGATATATTTTTATAAATGACCAAACACACAATGAAGAACAACTGGTATATTTTTAACCCACTTGGAAGGGGCAATTTCCAGTAGTTTTACATGAATTCTCCTATCATTATATATATAAACATATACATGTTAACTTGGAAATAGACATTGTCAAGTTCTGACTAAGAAATAAAACTAGATGGGAATCTTTCCTTTGCTCCAAGCCTCCATTTCAAGGAAGAAAGATTTCAATTTATTGTGATTTGGTCAATATATTTTCCTTTCTAAGTAACGATTAGTCCAGAAATAAAGACTCACTGACTGGGCTCACAAACTATATTTAAAACAAAGTTCTGAACATTCTGAAATACAAGAGTCACTCTGTAATTTCAGAGCAGTTGTAATATCTTATCCCACTCTAACAGGCTGCCAGAAATGCTCCTGGATAAGGCCCATCACCATTTGTTCTAAAGATATCAACTTTCTGGCTGGCTCTGTCAGGTAACTGAGGACATTTGGACTTTGATTCATATCTCATATACTTCTTACATTTCATCTTCGAAGGCAAAATTTTTGGATATGTATTTAGTCTGTAAATCTTTATTAAAAGGCTCCCAATATTGCATGCAATAAAGTGCTGTGTTTTATCCAGAATAAAAAAGATGTATGTGAAAACTTTTCCTGTAAATATCCACTTACTTTGTATGAAGGAATTGAGCATTTTTTCTCCAACATGCAATTTAGCTGAGTGAGTTCTAATATGTTTTCCATGTAAAGAGAATGAAATTCCATATTGTGTTACTGGCAGCCCTGGAATTAACTGCAGAGACTGAAGATAGGAAGCATATCCCTAAACATTGATACAAAACACAACCAAGACTCCAAAGAAAATTATTTTGGACATTGCAGTATATTGCGGCTGATCCTCTTATTCTTTTTAGTTAATGTAAATGGAATGAGGAAAAGAAACTTTTCAGAATATCCAAATAAAGGGTTTTCTGTTTGTTTGTTTTTCTGTTTGTTTTTAAAGTTCCACAATCTGTTTGGATTACTAACACTTTCCTGAAGATACTTGAGGCTGTGGGATGGAATCCAGAACTGTTTTTAAGTATCACTTTGAACTTCCATATGTCAATACCTTTTTTCCCATTTTGTTAGCACTGACTGTATTAGCATTTGATCATAGTGCAAACTGGTGCTTCTTGGTCAGCGTGCCTGTCAGAACACAATCAAAACAAAGAGTGTACAGATCTCATCATCCCTGGGAAAAGGCTTTATGACTTTGTTTATACCGCAGCTAAGGCTAGAAGACATGGCTTAATTTTAAAGTGCTACCGGCACTAATAAACCAATTATCAATGATCTTGATGAGACCCGTATTTCACCTGCGTGTCTCCTGTTAATATGTGCTGGTTTATCTCACACACCTGTGTATGCATGCTCTGCATTTCCCGGAGTGGCACTGCATGTGGACAAACAGCATCTCTCGCCTGGGACTGTCCAAGCCCGAGTGGATACAATGAACGTTATCCGTGCCCGAGCTGCCGTTGGGGACCGTGACCGTGGCACCGAGCGCACGCAGGCCGGGCAGGGGCGGCGCTCGCTGACGTCCCGGGCAGCCCCGCCCCCCTCCCGCGCTCCCGCAGCTTCCAGAAGGGCCGGAGCCGCGGGGGGGCCGGCCCGGTGGCGCAGTCGGAATTGCTGCGGCCGCGGGGCCCGGCCGGGGCGGGGCGGGCGGTGATGCCCTTGTTTATTTTTACCCGGGCGGTTCATCCTCCTCGGCAGCCCCAGCGCGGCCCCCTCTGCCGCTCCCCGCCCCAGCTCCGACGGCGGCGCCGCCTATAAAACGCCGCCCGCGGGGAGCCGAGGATGCAGCTCTACAGCTCCGTGATCACCCACTACCCGGCGGCCGCCACCGCAGCAGCCGCCGCGGCCTCGCCGAGCTCCGCCGCCGTCTTCAAGGTCTCCTTGTCGCCGGGACCCTCCGCCGCGGAGGCACCGAGCGCCGCCGACGCCGCGGGCCCGAACGCGGCTGCCGAGAGCTCCGGCAAGGACAGCTTCGTTCCCGCGGGGGGCAGCAGCAGCAGCGTCGCCGCCATGCCCGCCTTCTCGTCCTGCCTGGAGGTGATGCCGAGCGGCCCCGCGGCGGGCCCGGCCGGGCGGCCGGCGGGCGGCCCGCAGTTCAGCTCCTGCGCGCAGGTCACCGTCAGCCGCCGGCGGCCGCTGGAGCGCATCGTGCCCATCCGCATCGTGCAGCGCGCCGAGGCCGCCGGAGAGCTGGTGCCGGGCTCGCCGCGCAGCCGCGCCTGGCTAGAGGGCATCCTGGAGAGCGTGCGGCAGGCCGGGGGCGACGGCGAGGCTGCCGCCGAGGAGCCCAGCAACCGCAGCCTGCGGCTCAGCGAGCATTGCCAGGCGCTGCAGGCGGCGGCCGCCGGAGCCCAGCCCGGGCTGGTCCCCGGCTGCGGCCCCGCCGAGCGGAGCGGGGGCCCCGCGCAGCCCGGCGGCCCCGCCGCGCACGGCGAGGAGGAGGAGGCGGCGGCGGGGCCCGACGTGCGGCGGGGGCCCGGCGGCAGAGCGGAGCGCAGCGAGAAGCTGGCGCTGTACCTGGCCGAGGTGGAGAAGCAGGACAAGTACCTGCGGCAGAAGGGCCGGTTCCGCTTCCACATCATCCCCGACGGGAACTGCCTGTACCGCGCCGTCTGCAAGGCGGTGTACGGGGACCAGCGGCTGCACGGCGAGCTCCGCGAGCAGACCGTGCACTACATCGCCGACCACCTGGACCACTTCAACCCCATCATCGAGGGCGACGTGGGAGAGTTCCTCATCGGCGCCGCCCAGGACGGGGCCTGGGCCGGCTACCCGGAGCTGCTGGCCATGGGACAGATGCTGAACGTGAACATCCACCTGACCACGGGCGGCCGGCCCGAGAGCCCCACCGTTTCCACCATGGTTCACTACCTGGGGCCCGAGGACCCGACACGGCCCAGTATCTGGCTGAGCTGGCTTAGCAATGGGCACTACGATGCTGTGCTGGACCGCGTGTGCCCCAACCCAGAGTACGAGGCGTGGTGCAGACAGACTCAGGTACAGCGCAGGCGGGATGAGGAGCTGGCCAAGTCTATGGCGGTGTCCTTGTCCAAGATGTACATAGAGCAGAATGCCTGCTCATGAGAGCGCCCGGGCCGGGAGCTTGGCTGCAGGGACTGACAGAGAGGTGTGCTGGCTGTGATGGTGATGCCTTAATCCTTAATGAAGCAGCAGCACCCCCGACGGAGAAAGACTGTAGGTTGCGGGGGATAAATACAGACGTAGTTGTAATATTCTGTTGTAAAAACTTAGCCTCGGGTTCTTTGCAAGCAGATTTTCTGTGTATGTTTGTGTCTCCCCTCCTCACTGTCTATTTTCTATAAGAATGTATTTTTTGCACACTATTTTTAAACTGTTACCTCCATCTTCTACATCTTACATTAGTATCTGGCTTTCAGCTGTACAGCCAAAAACGTTTGTAAACAGTTTTTGTAAATAAGGCTTATGATGTAACAGCTATTTTTTGCTGTGTTTTTTACCCATAAACCTTATATTTTTACCAAATGAAGTTGATGTCAAACTGACCCCCCTAGTTGATGAAAATGTTGTGGGTATTTTCTTGCAAAATTAAAATAATGGCTTTTGTAAAAGTGTGGCAAAGTGAGAACAGACTGCTTTTAGGAACAGTTGCTTTCTCTGCCTGGAGCACAGAACAGGTCCTTTGAGCCAGTTGGAATGCAGCTACACGTGAACAGAGCAGGGAGCAATTGACTCTTCTGTTTTTAATTACTGTTTTGAGTAAACTGGCCTCCTGTTGCCTGGTTGGCTCACTCTCTGCTCCGTTTATGTTATTTATCTATAATAACAGAACATTAACTTGCAATAGAATGTTGTGACTAGATAATAGTCTCCTGCTTTGGCAGTAATTGCCTTGGCTGCACCTCAGTGTTTGTGTTCTTGTTTCTGGGGTTATGGTGTCTTTCGTATAAGCCCTGCTTCTTTTTTGGCACTGGTGTTTCACCAACAAGTCATTATCTGATCACAACATTTTATTCACGTGACTTTATTTTCTAATCAAGAAATCAGGAATGGTTTATGGTTTAAAAGAAAAAAAATAGTTAAATTGAGGTTTGTATGGTTTGCTGGGTCAAACATTTAAATGTCCAATCTGGATTCTGTCTCTTCTACTTTCTGATTAACTTGTTAGATATATTTATTAAGTAATGCAGTTTGTACTTTTTTATTTTGTAATATATTGTGATTTTGGAATTTATACTGTATTTGTATAATAGGAATATTCACAGCTAAAATGGAATGAATAAAGAATATAATTTTACTTGTGCTCTTCTTTTCTATGCTGTGCATTCTTGGTGTGGGGAAGAATTGTGGGTGGGTTCACAGGACCTTTTATTTGGCTTCCCTACCTATTAAGAGGTGGGAAGAAGGGGCATGGTACTTTATAGGTGTGAACCACTGATAATTCTGGTGTCTGTAAATATGTGAAAGAAATTCAAGCATTTAAAGACAATTGAATATCTGTAATTATTTTCTCACTGCAGGAGATCTTAGTATATCTGTTTGCTAGTGAGAAACAGTTTTCTATATTAACATACCTTAGAGGAGCAGTTCTCAAGCATAGTTAATGAGCTGGTGACACCAGGGTTGGTGGTGAGCCAGCTCTCTGCTGGACTTTGCACACTTGGGCTTGGACATTGGTCTTTGGGAACCTCCATCCTGCAGTTAGCCCCAAACTTGCTTGAGATTTGTCCTGTCAGCAGTGATGCCTTGGCGCCCTCTTGTCACTCAAACAGAACTAATGTCATAGGGAGATGCAGCTTTCTACTCCCCTCACAAGATGGAAATGCCTTGCAAGTTGTTAAAATGTGTTTACAAATCAGTCCCTCATCTCAAAATAGTAAAGGGCTTCATCCTTAAACAGCAGAAGGGTTCTGGGTTAAAGTTACAATTAAAAAGTAACTAAACAGCTGAAATGCACCAGTCTTAGTTGAGCACATGTGATGGAGCTGCAGGACGGATATATATATTTGTTACTGGTTTATGAGGTACAAAGAGTAGATTTAAATATTATGTTATTTTCAAAATATTGGCAAATAGAATATTTTTCCTGTTCTCTTTACACCCATTTGTCCTTTTTCTTTAGAGTGCAAACAGTGGTGGAAAACCCCCTGGGTTTCTAATCTACTACTGCTTAACCCATGAATCTTTGGAAAGCTGAGTTTTGAGGTGAGAGCACAGCAAAGATGCAGTCATGGATGTGTTCCTAAGGAGCAGAGGTAGTTTATGGGGAAAATGGCTGCTCACATGGCTCTAAAAGTAAAGGTATTAATACAGCATCACTAAATATCAGTGATGTGTTGACTGATCAAAAACAGTTTATTGAGGCTGCTTAGGCTTTGGTTTGGATGTGATTAATTCATTCAAAGTTGTGACTATCCTAAACTTTAAAAAGTCCCAAACACATTTATTTTAAGTCTTCTAAAATTACTATTTTTGGCTGTATCACAAATTGTGATCACAAATTTTGTTTGTGTTTTGCAGCACAAACCTTAGAAATGCTCAGTGAGCTAAGCATTAAAGGATTGATACAGCATAATGTTCACTCTGTGTGATAAAAATGATACTCAAATGTCACAAATAAACAAAGCAATGTTAAAAACCAACCCTGGGATGGGTTCCCACAGAGTTCCTCAGCAATTTATCTACTGTATGAGTCACAGGGGCATGCAGATAACTTTAAGGAATTTGAAAAAACTAGGTTACTTGTTGAACTAGTTTGCAAAGACATGGAGGGTGTATTGCTGAAGCGTGTAACAAGGCACTTGTTTCTGCAGCTTGCATTATGTTCTCTGTCTAAAAGGAAACTGCAAAAATGGCATTTCAGATGTTTTGGACATATGTAAAGTGGTGTTGTTGTTGTTTAATAGCTGTAGTGTTTAAAGTTCAGCTGAGACACTAGGTTCAGATGCGAGCTAGTGGTGTCTTGTTTCAACAGGAGTAGAGGCAGTTTCGTGGACAAATTTTATGGAAGCAGTGATCCTGATGTGCACAGAGCTTTACAAAACTGCTTGTAACACTATTCTTGCCCCTAGAAAAAGCAGAGGTAGATGCAAAGTTTTCCTTTACTGTCCTCTCTTCAACAATTTCAGCAACAAGGGAAGGGCAGACATTGTCCTGGATCATAATTTCACTGCCCAATTATTTTAACCTTGGCTAATCACTTACATAATCCAACTAATTCTTAGACCTGTCTGGGGACTTTGGTCAACAGACTTTTTATTATTGACAATAAGTCAGAAAAAGAGCTTGATTTTCAGTATGCCACTTGTACAGTTCTATAAATCAGTAGAAAATGCTTTAATTCTAAACCGAGCTACTGTGAACTTCAGTTGGTGGGAGCATAAGCTTTGTGATGCCATCTTTGCTTGAATTTTATAACACCGTTGTGAATTAGTTGACATGTTGAATGCTGCATTTCAGGAGTTCCTTAGGTTGCCAAGACCATGACATTCTGTCGCTAAATGTGCAAGGGATATGTTAAAATTGTCATGTGTGTTGAACAGACTTTGTTACATGAAGCAAGGTTTGCAAGAACTGCATTGGTTTGCAATGAAGGAATCTAAAAATAAGGGTGATGGGCAGGTAGGAAAGGAAAATTTATGTAAGTATCACTGTTTTCCATTTCAGCCAAGGGCTTGCTCTTCAGAAAGTTAAGTGGATGACACTTTGTGCTTAGTAACTTTCTTAGGAAATAGAAGTTGTCTAATCCCAACTACTGTGGTTTATCTGTCCTGTTGTATGGCAGATACATTACATGTGTGCAAGATAAATCTTTTACATTAACTCAACTTGTAAATAAAGGTGTGTTTCAGTACTTCTTATACATGTACAAAATCACCTGAATACAAATATTTCTACTGTCCATTTTTGCTATTATGATGTCAGGATTAGTTGGTAGGATTTTTGAGAATAAAATTTCAATTTTGTTTTAGTGATTTATCAGTGTGCTCATGCATAGCTTCTGAATCCAAGCAGAAAATGATGATAGGTATCTCACAACAGAGACAAGTACCTGGCAATAACTGTTTTTTGCTTATAATTTGCTTATACTCTTTTATATTTATTCAACAGTTTATTGATATGCAGTGATGTGTTCGTAGGATGTTGGTGCAAAATGGTGTGAAATGAAAAAAATTCCTGAGCCTCATTGTTAAAAAGATTGTCCCATTCCAGAATTGCATGGTTGTGTGAAAATACACAGCATGCAGTGAGATAGTGAGTAACTGTTTGAAAAGACATCACATCTGCCAAATGCAATTGTGTAGTCACCGGAACTTTTTAAAGAAGCAAAAAATTTTAACTTTGAATTTTTTACTAACATACAGGCTGATTTTTAAAATGTACATGTGTGTTTCAGTTGAAAAAGAAAAGCAGCTTTCATATTTCCCATTCAGTTTTAATTTACAATCTGTCTTTTTTCATAACAAATTTATACTATTAATGGATAAAAAGATACAGCAATTCAGTAATATATTGTTCTTCAGCCATTTTTTTCTGGAGTTAGTATTTAAAATCTGTTTATCCAAGGAAATCCATACACAGTATTCAGACTACAAATCAATGGAAATAAACCACTGTCATGTTCCAGGTTTCTGTGGCATGAGTGGTTATTACTCCATCTTCTCATAAATTTGTCCTAATTACTGAGTAAAATCAAGCTTCTCTGGAGAAAAGGTGAGTGTGCAATTGTAACAGCATGAGGCATGTACACAGGGATGAACTCATCTTTATTGTGTGATCTTCAAAAATAGCATTTCCTTAATTTTTAGTGTGTGTTTCTAAACCATTAGGCTTTTAATCCTTATTTTATTTCATAGAAGTTTTACTGCAAGCTGTAGGAAACAAACTATTGAATTCTTACAAGGCATTGTTGTTTAATAGTGTTTGAACCTTCAGCACCGGAGCACAGTTGAGCTGAGCACAGAGTGGCATCTGCAGGGAAGAAGGCAATTGTAGGAGGAAGGTTGGAGTTGGATCTGGCTGTGGAGGAGCCCAGGCTGCCTTGTACCCTTTCATGTCCCCCTCCACCCACATCCCCAGCAGGCAGATCCTGCTGTGCCCTTGGTCTGGTGGCAGCTTCAGGATCATTGCTGCTGCTCCTTGGGGTCTCGTCATGGAGCTCCTGCACTGCCCAGCTTTTGGGGCTGCAGATGAAGGAAGGGATGCCACACTCACTAAAAAATGGGAGGGATTTCACAGGCAAAGACATGGTGCTTTTCTTGCCTGAGAACTTCTATTACTGAATATCAAAGACTTAAAGCATGGTTGACCATCAAAATAGTTTGCAAAGGTCAATGTAATTTTAAATAGCACATAAAGTATGTTAACAGATTTTTGAGAGTCAAATGCTGAAGTATGCTGAAATACTTATTTTTTTAAAGTAATCGCTAATTACATTAGCAAAACCATATTATTTTCACAGGTACAAGGATCCAGCATTTTTCCTGCACAAAACTTCTATTTTTGCTGTCTGTAAAAAAATTGTTTTTCAGCTGTTTAACTAAACAGCATATCTGGGCAAGAAAATAATTATTTCAGATCTCTGGGTGTGATTTGGAATTTGGCAAAGTCTGTCAATTTAACCCAGTATCACTAAGTGCAATATTTCTTCCCATTGCTAATGCTGTACTCAAGTTTAGAAGTCTGCTTTTAGAAATAACATGGTCACTGGAACTCACGCTGAGCTTCTTTTGATATTTTTTAGGGAGAGCCCATGGTCAAAATGTACTCCCTTTGTAAATAAACAAAACTAGTATGTTTTATATCTAAATTGCCTGTCTTCCATATGACTTAAAGATTGAGATATGACCAAGCAATTAAGCAGTTAACTAATGTGTTTATATGATTTGTTTGCCTTCCTGATAAACTTCAGCTCCACTGGACTAGATTACTCACAGGGTCTGATCTTTTGTGGTTTAAGGTAGGAGCAGTGATAAATTTATTGTCTCAGTAATTACTAACACAATTCCTGTTACTTCTGCAAACTCTATCTGCAATTTTAAAATTTCTTTTCATGGCTGTTTTTGTTATTATCAATCATAATGCCTATTCAGGATTAACCTTAGAAAGTGGTTATGCTGCAAACCAAAACCTAATTAAATAGGACATTTGAGTGAGTTTAGGAGTTGACAGCTGTTTTGCTGTTTATATATAATGAAGGGAAAGGTGGTGCCCAAAATGAAGTGGTTCTGAAAGGACTTGTTTCGCTGTGAAAGATGGTTATGTCAGCTTATAGATCAGCATTGTGACTGTTGATGTAAAAC